ATCTTAGGAAATAGTCTGAGGTTGAAGATGGTGTAATTTAGCATCCTAATCTTTCTATATAGACTTATATTACAGGATAATAGAAGTCATAAAAATTTGTTTAAATATTTTATTTACACAATTTTAAAATACATGAATTTACTGCACTAAATATAGAGTATATAATATGGTTATTACTGTACTGAGTATGTAACAATCATTAAGCATTTTAATACTTGTATATAATGACTAACTAACATTGAACACTAACAGAGCTCATAAAATTTGCTTAACAGTTTTTGAACTCCCGTAAAATACATTGCCTTTATTTTTCTGCAAGTACATTGGCAAATTTCATCTTCCTGGGTTTTCTCTGTGCAAATGTGTCAATTACTTGGTTTATATCCACTGGTATATCTCGGTGGATGTGCAGTAATGTCAGGCCTGTCAGTCTCTCATTCACCATTGTTGATCTGAGTGTTGTTTTTATTCGTTTCAATCCACTGAGTGATCTTTCTGCAGAGCATGTCGTTACTGGCAGGGTGCACAGGAGCAGGGTCCTCACGTTGGTGTCTGGGAGAGGGTGGTGGTCAGTGTAGTTGGAAGACTGGTTGGGCCCTGTTCTTTGGCTTTTTGCCCAGGTTATGGGTTGACCGCACCATGCAGTACCTGGAGGGGGGTTTCTGGGCAACCAGGAAACCCCCTTCCAGGTGCGCCACTGATGATGTTATATGTAGTGATGATGGATGTTGTTATATGTAGTGATGATGGATGGTGTTATATTTAGTGATGATTAGACAATACAATAATAACAGTTTAATGCTAAAAAAAATATACTTTGCTGTACCGTTGTAGTGAAAAACATGATGGTAACTTACATACACCGTTAATGAACTATTGATGGAAGAAGAAATTTGGGTGGCGTCCTACTGTTGCCTAGCGGGCGATTCTGCTAGTGTTATAATAAAATGTTTTAATTTACTTAGCTTCAAAGGTAAAGATGTTTGGTTTGATTAGATTGATGGAGGTGGATGTTGGGGGATGGAGGATTAGTCAGAGGATTATCCACTCCCACTCTTCTTTTGCCTAATCACTTCTAATTTTACATCTGTACTATAGCTAGTGTGCTTACTTTTGAGTGCTGCATCACCCTGTTTGGGTTGGGAACTCATGGCTACAAAATGATAAAATAATTCACCACAACATGCACGAAAAGCCACAACAAAGGCAGGAGTAAACACAGCACAGCACTGGTCTGTTCTGAACAAAACAAAGTGGGAGACTGGTGCAGGGACACGTGTGTGTGACGCCAGGAAGAGGAGGAAATTTAAAACGCTTCGGCTAAAATTCCGTAGATTTAATCGGGAGTTTTAACTCCGTAGATTTTATCGGGAGTGTTAAATCCGTAGATTTTATCTGGAGTTTTCAGAGTTGAGTGGAATCCACTTAAATGCAGGGACTTTTTAAGCGGATGGTCACAAAATGGACCACTTAACTGTGAAACTGCGTATAGTGAATACTCTTATAATGAGGATCTCCTGTATTACATTCCTTGTAAGGAACCTTGTAAATGCAGCCACCTGCATTGCTAGGGAGTTCTTAATTAAAATTTGTTTTACAGTGAAAGAAAAGTTACATTTACGATCTAGATTTTCAGTTATAGAGGAATTTGAGAGAGATTTATGTTAAATGCTAATACTAAGAGATTCATGACATGAGAAAGTTTAGGATCAGTTCTATAAAAAGATTTCTTAGAGATGTTAAGGCATTTGTCTATAAAAGATCTATTTTTTTTTTTTTACGGGATTAGCCCACCCAAGCACAGGTCACTGACCCACATCGGGGCCTAGGGGCGAAAATGTAATACTATAATAAAGAACCATAAAAAAAAAAAAAAAAAAATCAAGTGAGAAACAATAGATGACTGTTGTGTTGTCAATATTAAGAGAAACAATTGAGACCCTGCAATTGTGTGTAAATGAGGCAGAAAGTCAGATCAGCAACCTGGGACTTGTCACAATTTTCGTGATGCCATGTGGCAGCAGGGTCTACCATTAGACAACACAATATGCTTCCAATATCTTCCCAGGCGGTAGTACCTCCCTGTTTGGTAGCTGCCCAATACCTACTACCTTTAAGTTCAATCCAATATTGTAGATATATTTATATTCCTCATTAATGAATTCTGGACTACATATTTGTAGAGCACATAAAAACATTGATGAGAATACTGACCGTTTGACTATTATGGTGAGCAGAATAATAATGAACATACATTAGTAGGTTTTATAAATACTTGTACTGAACTTAAAGGTGTTACCTACTCTGCTAAGATGCTGGATGTACTGTATATAAAATATGTTATTATCTCTAAGAGGTGCATGTGTTCTATGTTACCTCATCTCTGCCAATCAGTTGGTAATGCCTGTCCTTCTCTCTTTAACATGTAAAGACTTGTGCATTATGAGAAGACACCCCAAGACATGGTAAAAAATTCACCAAGTAGAACGTAGAACCATCGAAAATAATCATCTGCAAACAGAATTTCACTCGCCTTCCTTGCATCCCATATCCTCATCAACCACCCTCCCCCTTTTCCCTTTGCACTTAAAAATTTCACATTTATTCCATGCATTTTCACTGCTTGGAATAAATTAAAGTGAATCATCACATAGCTTGTACAGACCTTTACCTACTATAGTATACAGTACAGTACTACATAATGCTTTTCTGGGAATACATTCCAACCAAAATAATATTTTCTCATTTATTTAGCAATGTTTTACAAAGGTAACATGAGTATTACAGTTTATACATATATAGACAGTACAGTAATGTAATGTGGGTCACTTTAAGTCTTTCTATTTACAATATAAGATATACTTAATACAGTACTAGTAAAAACCTTGATAAATTGGAATACTGTACCTGTATACTGTACAGGATGTAACCATTCTGAGTTATCAAGGCATTTTTCTCCCGGTCTTCCATCCCATCCCAATACCCAACTTTTTAGCCCATATAACCGACCATAATCAGAAAACTTGCACAAAAATTTATGCTTATCAATACTGCAGGCGAAGGATGGAGATAATTCAAGCTTGTGGTGTTATATGGTGATGGGCACTGCTGTACAGTACAGTATATACAGTACAACTTTGTATTGTAAGCACTTTCAGCATAGTATACCTTAAATGTTATTATTCACTTACACTACTGTACTGTACATGAATACTGTACTGGTTAAATTTTCAGTGCAGGTGGAAAAGCACTTTGCACAAAATACTTGAAAGTAAGTAGAGTGACTGCAGATGGGTATCCTCTCACTAGGCCTACGAACACATAACTGGGCGGATGACTAGGGCAGAGCCTCCTTCGTGTTACACCATTCCGAGATTGCGTTGTCTTATCTAGGAATATTGCGAGTTATGTAAAAAATAATTTTTTTGTAAAAAGTAAATTAAAGGTGAATATTTTACTGCCATTCTGAGTTATCAAGGGTTTACTCCATTAAATACAGTATGTCCAGGATACAAAACTCTACAGCCATTTAATAGAAAACCAACCAAAATAACATATGTTATGCTTATGATTAATTACCTGAGAATAAAAATATTTTGTTTGTTTATCTTTAACACAATGTGAGTACAGTTCAGCACTGGTTGGTAAAAAGGAACATTACCCTGGCAAGGTTTGATGAGATGAATCTCCTAAACATCCACAGAAGTATAAATGTCAACATGATTTCTCACACGTTTCCTCCTTTAACTGTGACATGACCTCTGTCATGGTCGGAAGTTGCAAACTTCCCTTACCTAAGTACAGTAAAACCTTGATAACTTGGAATTTCATAAAACTCGGCATGGATGTAGTCTCGGTATGCATCATAGTGTAACTCGGGAAATGCCGAGATATATACTGTAAAATTATCTTGTAAAATCTCGGCATATCTGGCCACATGGGTAACACTTGCCATGCTGCACTCCATGCTTGGTCAGTCTGGTGTTTGTGATCGGGTGTGTGCTGGCTCACATGGACGTGGGAAGGGAGGGTGTTGTAGTACCCCAATATAAAGTATCACAGTATACATTGCACCACAGAGTTTCTAGGGCACCAGAATCAATATTTAGCACTCCCTGGTAATATTGGTTCCTGTAGTACTAACCCAGTAACACCCAACAACCTCCCCCATTCATGTCAGGCCAGCCACTGTATGCACAACGTCTCCACTATTACGATAAATTCAATGTCATAGATTTTATTTAATTTACAGTGCAATTCATTTAATCTGAATTCCAACTACGTATCTGAATCTTCTAGGTATCCCATCTTTGTCTCCTTTGGTAAAAATTCTAATTTAGTCCAACAATCCGAAAGCAACTGAAGTCATTTATTCGCATGTCTAACACCTGTAGCACTATAACTGCTTTTTAAACAAAAATTGCTGTACATATTTTAGGTACAAAAAATAGTTCCTCCCACTCTCAAACCATCATCTAAGTGATGCTACAGTTCAGAAAGGCAGTCAAGAGTCAACTAGCTGACTAAGATGTGTGTGTGTATGTGTGCCGTGACGTCACTGGGAGGGAGAGTCAGCCATGCAGTAAAGCTCACTGGGTGGCCTTCACATATGTTCAGCTCCCACACACACACACCTATGCTCCTGATTTTTCTTATTTTATCGTTCTATATTATATTTTCTTTATTTCTAAGCTACTTTAGAGTATTTTAATTTTTACTCTGTAATAAGGAAAACAGTTTACTAGGGTAAACTATAATATCCTCAGTGATATAAATTACATGTTTATTAACATACTCAGACTTGAATTATAGAGAAAACAATTATTTTTTTGTTAATTTATTCTTTATTTTGTATAAGTGACCAGATTACAGTAGTATACATCACCTACCATGCATCTGTGTCACCTACTACAATGCTTCATTCTTCACCTGCAGTGCTGATAAATGTTACATTTTGACATTTAGTAATTACATGTACACATATATAGGTCACTAATTTTTTATTGTTGTGTTTTTGTAGAAGGGGGGGGGGTGCCTCGTTAAGTCAGAATTTGGGATAACTCGGCAAGGCCAGAGCCCCATATGTGCTGAGTTATCGAGGGTTTACTGTAGTTTCTCATCTAACACCACAATCACTTGCAGCTTTATCCCTCGGTGTGAATTTAATGGTTGCAAGATCTGAAGGTACAAATATACCAAACATATTTAAAGTGTCTTCTGATCTACTGATGTATTCATTTCCAACTTCAATCAGGCTGAGACTGCTGGTTCTCTCTCTGTGAACATACAACACCATGAGATCGTTGGAGCAGCTCCTCGATGATGTAGTCAGGAAGGTTTTGATGCGTTTTCGGGAACTGAATGAGTGTTTACTTATTGCATTTGTTGTTGGCATTATGAGAATTAATTTGGCTAATTTTATAACCTGAGATATTTGTTGTTGCTGACTTAATGACAGTGACCGCAGGTATGTGAGCACAACAGAGAGTGTGACAGCGCCCAAGTGTGACATGTTGTGGGTCAATGTACTTAGCTGTGTTTGTAAATCTTCTTCTACAAAATCTGAAAGATAAAAACTAGTGACTGAGCAAAAGTCGTCAGTGTAGTCCAATCCGCTCGCAGCTTTGAGAAGAAGCTGCTCGCAACTCTTATATATTTTATAGTCGTACCGTTCAAGTCTGTCCATGACACAAGAAACTAAGAGGTGTATGGCATCATTGTAAACTGCTCTGTAGAGACGTTTTGGTGTATCCTGGTACTTTGGGGTTGCTTGTTCATCCTCAAAATGGTGTGTGTGTTGTGGTAACTTTGGCTCCTCAATATAATTTTCCTTTGCTTTTGCGCTGACATTAGCCCAAAATAACTCAAATTTATCCTCTGTCTGTAAACTAGTAAGTGTTGCTATAGACAGTGCTGCAACAGATTGTCCCTCAGCTGCTGATAAACTTTGCTTTTGAAGAGTTGTACTCAGACTATCTGCATGTTGGAGTAAATATTCAGCCAAAGTAAGCCCAAAGAAAAAGTCAAACTGCAACATGTGAGCATAAATGCCACGGATTATTGTTTTCATCTGAGTGTCGGTGCAGTGGTCCAATGACCAGGACCAAAGCTCTTTTAGGAGAGAATAATTTTCTGTGACACAAGTTAGTGCCTTCGCTCTGACCGTCCATCGTCTTGGACATAACATATATAAGTCAGAAGATTCCTTGCTGTCTTCTTTCATGTCTTCTTTCATTTTCTCAAGTCTTGCATCATTCTTTGTGGATCTTTTTATTAACTTGGTAATTTCATGTGTAGTTTCTAATGCTTCTTTTATTAATTTGACCTTCATGATACATTCCACACTGGCCAGATTCAACGAGTGGTTATAACAGTCAAAGTACAAGCACCTGGGCTCACACTGCTTCATTAGCTCAGCTACACTCTTCATTTCTCCCATTGTTGGACTGTGGCCGTCATAACACTGCCCTCTGGCATGCTCTAAGGAAAGATTCATTTGTAATAAGAGATCCTTTATTACAGTTTTCATAGTAAAGGCATCAAGATTTTCTAAAGCTTTGAAACCAATAAATTCCTCGTGAGCTTTAAGCTTATTGTCTACCCATCGTACACAAACAACAAGATGTTCCTTATTTGAGAGGTCAGTAATTCTGTCAGCCAGGATGCTGAAGAACTCTGTGTCTTGTACACTGGCTGCTATATGTCTTAATACTCTTAGGCTCATTCCTTGTAATATTTCAGTCATCATTTCAGCAACTGTACATTTGTCTAGTTTTTCTGTAATCCAAGCCAACAGCTGAGGATCATCTTCACTATGCAACTGGCAGAGCTGGTTGAAGTTTGAATCGATATCGCCATCTCCCCACGGAACAAGACCTTGTCTGGCCAAAAACTGCATATTTGAAAAAATTTTAAGGAGATTCTTTCTATTAATAGCCATTTCTCTATTATTCTCATCCCAATCTTTTGTTGTTTTTGATATGTTTATCTCGAGTCCCATTGCTTCCTTGTGGCAATCGGATCTCTCATGTCCCTGAAACCCTGATCTTTTTGAAGAAGCATTCTTCCAGTTTGAAAAACCACGAGCAATAAATGAAGGTTCAATTACTGCTTTTGAAATGAGATTTTGTTTGTATGCTTTAATGCACTCATAGCAGAATGCTTTGTCATATGTTTCATCATAATGAATCCACGGCCAACGTTCAAACCATGAAGGCTGGAAGCCTCTTGATACTGGGTATGTTTTCCCAAACATACGTTTCGGAAAAGCAGCTGTTTTGGGTTGATGTGGTATGTCCCCAATATCTGGCATGGGCAGCATTTCACAGTCTCTACTCTCGGGCATCTTCGCATGGTGGGACAAGTTGTGCAGGGCAACTTCATGATTACCTAATAAATAAACAAACAATACAATAGTTATAATTTCACAGATGAGACCAAGACAAAATGATACTAAAATGATTTACTACTTGAAAGTGAAAATATTTATACAATAGGTGTTGAGCTTTAAATAGGGGGTGAGGGATTAAAAACATACCATCATAAAATTAAGATGTTATTTTTACTACAACGTACGTATTGTGTCAGAAAAAGGGTTGTCTGGTGGTCGGCCCAGTCTCTATTTCAATTAATCCCACATGTTCTGTTATTTCACTTACGCATTCTCGTTTTATGTGGACCTCCATGGAATTGACCGCTTAAATCGAGACTATGCTGTATATATAAAATATTTATTCATTCTTATTTAATCTTTTATTCTGGAGAGCCGGTTCAGAGCAACTTTTATTGAATTTTTTTTTTCTTGGTCTCATGATATGACTCCACAATTTTGTTGAGATACCCAATGAAGGATAATTTTTCTAATAATATAACTCAACACCACTACTGTACTACTTTGACTAACTCCACTAATACTAATAACTTCACAACAACAATTACTACTAATACTGTAATAACTTCACGACATCTACTGTGAAAACAGATCTCTTTAATTCTAGACTAAAATAAAATTAAAAAATTACCTTACTAACTGATAACAGAAAGTACTGAGTGTATGACCAACAACAAACACCTCACCAGACTCTTGTAGGCCGCCTTCAACATGAAGACTTGTATCACAGTCCCTTGAATTGGCTGGAAGCTCCAACTCCTCCTCAATCAGAGGCAGAACTTCAGAGCTTTTTAGATCCATAAGAGCAGGTAATAGTCCTTTATTGGGTTCAGCCTGTTTTTGCTTCTTGCGGAAGTAGTTCTTCTTGGCTCTGTATGATGTAGGTTTCTCAAAACAAATAAGCATAGGATTGTAACATAAATATTGAAAAGACATTATCCGGTAAGTAAAACTTGGATATTGAAGAGTACTTGTACCAGTAAATCTCTTATTTTGATCCTCCACCCTCAATAAAATTATAGATCTAGGGTTCATATACTGTAATGTATGTGTAAATCTGTTGATCTTTCCTGTGATGGTAAAAGGAATATTCTTAATTGCCTATTTTGAGTGTACTGTAGCCTAAGCATTGTACATAAGGTAGCGTGCATAGCAGAGTGAACGGTGTTTGCGTACTGTAGCATCCTGTGTCATCACCATTTGGCCTGCCTGCATCACAAGCTCAAGACAACAGCATCTTATTTTGTTATCTATATTGTGTAGCAGTTTTTGCTTACAGTACTGTATTTACAGTATAATGTACGTGTTTACAAAAATAAAGATGGCTGTGTCTGTCAGTGAGTGATATGTAGTTTAGATTCTCAGAAAACTTTCCCCAACACACAAAAACATACCTTGTGTTTCGGCAGAGGCCATAATGTAGATTTTGTTCAGATTTCATACAAAGGTGCTCTTTTACATGATGATGAAGGATCTGGATTTATAATATTTAATTATGATTAAAGTACAGTTATTAGTGTTAATGAATGACCCTTGAAATAATTCAACACCTTGAGAATATTTAAAACGTAAATTATGCTGTGCTCATAAGTTTTAAATCCCCTTTTATATGTTTTCTTGAGAATATAGACTAACTTTACCATTTAATCATGTTTGTTTTCACTTTCCACAAAAAAGCCACAAGTCGCCCCCCAAAACACCGGACTTAATACCTTGCATTTTGGCAGAAGAGGTAATGACATATTCTATTAAAATTTCATACAAAGTTGCTCTTTTAAATGCTGAGGAAGGATCTGGGTTCATAATTTAAAATTTTGAGTAATTAGTGACCCTTGAAATAAAATATACACCTTTAGACTACAGTATGTGGATAAAGGTTTCAGCTTTAATTGTAATGCATCTACAGCAATAATTCAAGCAGACTGATAAAGAAGAAATTGACAGGACTACAGTACATTACTCACCTATTACGGATGCCTTCCCAGATTTTTCGGACCTGTCGTGATGATTTGGTATTTCCTGTGGAGGTGTTAAAGCGCATGGCGATGTCCTTCCAAGTTGCTGTCTTTCTGAATATAGCGGCACTTGATTTGATATCAATTATCCCTTTAAATTCCTTGATAATTTCAATCAAACATTCTTTCTCTTTTTTGGTAAGGGGAGGTGCATTCTTGGTTAGGGGCAGTGATTTTACACCACATATGGTGGGTTTAAGCAGGCTTGGAGATGAAGCCAATTCAGCTTGTTTGGGTTTCAAACACCTGTGTGAAAATAAAACATTCAAATGTTAAGAGAAGTTTATGGTTGAACTACTGTATACATTCTTTCTTAACCTCAAATATTGTGGAAGGATGACATTAACCCTCTACTGCCTGATACCCTTTGTACATTTTAGAACAGATTAATTCTTAAAAAGAGGCCACCGCCGTCGTAAGGGCACAAGCATCACTGTGCCTGAAATCAAGTTAACACCACAGTAAGTTTCAACAAGGTTTTCTCAATCACAAAGTGTGTTAAATGACCCAACACCTGTTGTGAGTGAACCCGAGGCTGGGCCGTCAGGGGGCCGTAAACGTCCATGTAGATCTCACACATGGAAGAGTAATGTTACTAAAAGGCTTTGTAATGAAGCAATGCAGGCAGGCCCCCCATGTGCCCATGGGTGTTTCATGCAAGTCGCCCTTTTCTCGATTTTTAAAAAATGTCACTTGTGCCCTTACCACAGTAAATTATGACCCAAAATTGATGTTTGTGTGTGAATACATCAAGACACAGCTCAGTTCTGAAGCACCAATTTAAATGAGCACTATGAGGGAGTTGTGTCACCTGGCAGCCCCAAGACTTATGACACAACTCACCTGGCAGCCCCAAGACTTATGACACAACTCACCTGGCAGCCCCAAGACTTATGACACAACTCACCTGGCAGCCCCAAGACTTATGACACAACTCACCTGGCAGCCCCAAGACTTATGACACAACTCACCTGGTAGCCCCAAGACTTATGACACAACTCACCTGGCAGCCCCAAGACTTATGACACAACTCACCTGGCAGCCCCAAGACTTATGACACAACTCACCTGGCAGCCCCAAGACTTATGACACAACTCACCTGGTAGCCCCAAGATTTATGACACAACTCACCTGGCAGCACCAAGACTTATGACACAACTCACCTGACAGAAAGTATGTGATGTAAACTAATCAGATGTGGGGGTAAGGGACCTGACTCTGCCTCATGTTCTAACTGTCCCAACAACCGTCGCTCCTCATCAGCGCTGATCACATGTAACCTGTCAACACCGAGCCTCATTATTACACTGAATGTTTCAATACAGATGAGTGCAAAGACAAAGCATTTAGTAGTTTATATTCTATCAACTTGTTAATAATAACAGTGTACATAAGCATTGTCTGTCTAGTGTTGGTGACCTTCAGTGGTACAACAGTAATACTCATGCCTCTCGGTGTTAGGTCCCAGATTTAATCCCTGGACCAAGTTTTCTTTGAGTATCTGGTTTCTGTCTTGTACTAACACTGGACAATGAAGTTCATAACATGTAACAATGTACAAAGCAATTGCCCTAATGGCTAGTAAGGTGATTAGTGGTGGAAATGATAAATTTAAACCTATATCTTTGGGTTGATGGCATTCAGCATCAAACCTTAATATCCAGACAAGCAATCAATAAGTCAGTGTTCATATAATTAATTTACTGTAGTCATTTTCATATGTATGGTAATGTTGATGATATTAAGATGACAATCGTTTAATGTGTACGTATGCTTTTTTTTTAATACTTATGAGACCTTTCCTCCTATGGTACCGGTTAATTAAATGAAAATAAACACAGGACTCTCCATCCTTGACTGTCATTTGTTTTTTCTGGGAGCAAAAGTGAGTCAAAATGTCAGGGCCAGACATAATCACAAGTATGGTCTGTAGCCTCACATCTTTATTATATGCAGGAAATCATTCTTAACATCCCACTTTCTATGAATTTTTTAGGACAGTTAATAAGACTGAGCCAAAACCCGTATTGTTAGTGAGTCACTGATGGGCAGTTTTGTCTTAATATTGGTCATTCTTTGGGCCAGATTCAAAATACAAAGTCTTTCCTATATTTAAGAAGGCTTATTTTATGAAATTTTTGTATTATGAAGAAGCCTTAACTGAAAAAAATAACATATTTTGATTTATGAATGGAATCTTTTCATAAAACAAGGAATACCTGTACAGTATATAACATCTGGAAAGAAGGAAGTGTTCGTGCAGTAATTATTATTTTTTGACACTTCTTCCTCTCTATCAGAAACTCCAAGAACGTAAAGCAACAATAATGGGAAAAAGGTACAAAAAATAAATGTTGAAGTCACAGGAGAGAACTGGAAATGCACTACACACACATTCTTATGTTCTCAACTTTCAGTACATATTAATGGAAGTCCTATTTTCTGTTACAGCAAACAGCCAGTCATCTCTCATTATAGAGGCTACTTACTGGAGGGTTAGTGTTTCCAGACCATCCCATGGGAGCCAGTGATGATCAGTTCTCCATACCAATCACCGCTATACTCTCCACCATATCAATCACCACTCTGCTCTCCACCATACCAATCACTGCTCTGCTCTCCACCATACCAATCACCGCTCTGCTCTTCATCATACCAATCACCGCTCTGCGCTCCACCATACCAATCACCTTTCCCTTCTTCACCACAACATCAGTCTCAGGTGAGTGGGACGAGGTGCAACATTTGCCCTTGTGAGGCAACAGGTTCTGTACTGTGCTATATGAGTCATGTCCAGGGAGTAGCATTGTGCATGTCTGAGAGAAAATCGTGGCATCAAGTGACTACTGGGAAAGGACATGCAGTTAGTGGATGGTGCTGGCTTGTGTGAAGCAACTGGGTAATCTAGATTTAGGGGTCTTATAGTGGAAGAGCAGTATGTACCATTGCAGAACACATTTCTTAAAATAGTAACATTGATCAAAAAGCAATTTATATCATCTCTTGTGTCTCTGCTCTGTTTTATGCAGTAATTGGCTTTGGTTAAAGAACAAGAAGTAACTTTACCATCCTAGTCACACTCCCATAGTAAAAAGGAAAGTCACATAATTTTCATAACGTCTAGAAACGTTCTACAGTATACAAATTTTACCCAATGGATTAAACTGTAGTAGACGAGACTGAGTATTGTATAAAAGGAAGTAAAGAAAACATCAGTAAATAAATAAAGATTATTTTTAATAAAAATACATGACAATAAATGCATTGTCAAATCTATAATTATTTAACCACATTTCAGTGATCTAAATAGTGGGCAACAAAGCCATTTTTAATTATAAAATTGTTCTTATAGAACTAAGATAAATTTGAATAAGCAGCCCTAAGGATGGGGACAGATACCCCTAAAAGTAATATTACCCCTTTTAAGATTACACTAAATACACCGATTATGGCTTCCTCTAACATTTCCCAATTACCATTCTATGGTATGTGTACTGGTGGTGTCCTCTTGTCCACCTCAGCAGGTTTCTATATTGTAGACCAATGAACGTACAGTACGTTCATAAATGGGTTCACGTTACAATTCCTCCTTAGCCAAACAAAAAGGTCAACGTGCATGCAAAGGTGTTGGCTCTCCAACAGCAAGTGAAAAAATTCATCCCCCTACAAGTAACATGACCACTGTTGGTCTTTTTGTTGATGTTTTCCTGGGCATATACTGTAGGGTGTTGTTTCTTAGACAATAATCTGCCAAGGAATGGGGTGGGGGGGGGGGTATAGGAAAATAGTTTGCCCAACAGGTCCAATACTTTATCAATATTCTGGTACACACAACTTTGCAATGTCTCTCACAGTTCTGTATTTCCTAAAGGCCTTTGATATTGCATGCTATACTATTCCATTTTCAGGTAGGTAGCATCTCCTTAGTTAAAGCTGCAATGTACAAGTGAAGCTGCCCCTTTGTAGCTACATATTAGTGGAGAGATTAGCTTAGGCAGCACCTCATAATAATTCATCTTCATCAGCTGTTGATTTACCAGACTTTCTCACCCTCTGATGATCTTGTAGATTTCCTTCTTTCTCACACCTTTTTAACCACAAATACACAGTAGTGCGAGAAATCCCAAGTTCTCTGGCAATGTCAGTTGGAGTTAATCCATTTTTCTTCATGCAGATGATATTTTCCCTTTGGCACAATTTTCTTCGGGAGGACATTTCTTTGCCCCAAAGTCCTTCAACAAAATACTGGTCTGCAAAATGAAACCTACTTTGATTTATTCCCTTTTCCATAAGCCGTCTCCTTACAGTTAATGCAGAAACATTGAGGTGAAGCTGCTCCTTTAAAGCCTCGGCATTAGTGAATGGATTAGCTTTGACAGCATTATATAACATTTCATCTTCAGCAGTAGTTGTTTTACGAGGCATTCCTGTCCTGCGGCGGTCTTGTAGGTTTCCTTCTTCTTCACACCTTTTTAACCACAAATACACAGTTGAGCGAGAAATTCCTAGTTCTTTGGCAATTTCAGTTGGAGATAACCCACTCTCCTTCAAGCCAATAATTCTTTCCCTTTGGCTTAACTTTTTCCGGTGATAATCCAGTCTGGGGCGGTTCCTTCTGCGATGTGACTCTGTAAATGTACGAATACATTCAAGAGACAGGAAACCCCTACATCTTGAATTCATTACAGTCACTTTCATTCTATTCTTAACATATTAAATCATGCCTATGTCTATGTTTAGTAAAAAAAAAAATTCTGTAACCTCCATATTTTCCTACAGTAAGAGATATAATGAAGATCTTTTTTTGTAATAAGTGACATACTGTATGTATCGATACGAGCACAGTAATATCTTGATTAGCCGGAATCCCTCTTAACCAGAACTCTCCGAGAGCCGGAGTTTAAATTTTCCGAGGGGCACATTTTCTGGAAAATTCTGAAAAAATTTTCCCAGTACCCTGAAAATTCTGGGGATGGGGGAGTTTTTTCAGGTTTGAGAGATGAAAATCAGGTGCATTTTCCGAAAATTCTGAGAAAAATTTACCAGTGCCTGGAAAATTCCAGGGGTGGAGGATATTTTTCTGGGTTTGAGAGGAGATGTAATGGGCAATTTCTGGAACTTCCGAGAACATTTTTCTGTTATCCAGAAAATTCCAGGGATGAGGGATTTTTTCCGACTTTGAAAGTCGTCTCATAACCCAGAAATCTCTCATTCCCGGAAGTGCTCTGCACCAATTGTTCCAACTAACGGAGATATCACTGTACACTCAACAATATTACCAACGTGTGCAAACCAAGTGAAATATAATTGCATTTATAACTGACTCTTTAATGGAAAAAAAAAAAGAGATGATGATGTCAATTGTATCCTTAAATACAGTATTGTTTCATTATTTTAATAATTAAACAAGAAATAATGTATGATAACCATAAATTATTTTTTCATGTCCTCAATAACAACTTTATGCAGTACAGTATTTTAATAACCAACTAAAGTAAAGTATAGACTGGATTTACGCGGTTTTGGTTAACGCGTTTGGTCATTTACGCAGTGCCTTGCCAGAATGAAATGTTTTAATTACGCGGTAAATTTGGTCATTTACGCGGGAAGCGGCGCGGGCAGGGTGCGCACAAGGTCGCCCAGTCATCAAAACATTGCCAAGTTCTTCACCCGCCACCCACCACAGCCGGCCCAAGTCAGTGATAAGTAAGGATATGGACTTTGAGGGGTTTGACAAAGAGGCCCTGCAAGCCTCTGTGGTGGATAGTGATACAAGTGATACAGGTGAGGGCCAATAATCTGCCCTCTGCCTCAGAACCAACCCCCCATCCCCGTGTGCCCAGCCATCTTTTCTACTAACGTAAAAACCTAATATTATTGATATTTCTCTTATATATTAATTGTGTGTGCATACCATCATAAAATTAAGATGTTATTTTGACTACAAGGTACGTATTGTGTCGGAAAAAGTGGAGTTTGGGGGTCGGCCCGGTCTCTATTTCAATTAATGTCATATGTTCTGTTATTTCATTAACGCATTTCTCATTTTACGCGGACCTCCACGGGTTCAATTGGCCGCGTAAATCCAGACTATACTGTAATGGTAATCCATGAAGTCAGATTCTGGCAGACTGCAGTCTGAGGATGGTATTAGAAGTGATTTGGTAAAAGAAGAGTGGGAGTGGATAATTCTCTGACTAATCCTCCATCCCCCAACATCCACCTCCATCAATCTAATCAAGCCAAACATCTTTACCTTTGAAGCTAAGTAAATTAAAAC